GTTCATCAGTTTATGATGTTCATTATATTCCACAAATGAGTGAGATCATGTGGTATTTATCCTTCTCTGACTGGCTTATTTCACTTAGCATAATGCTCTCTAGTTCCATCCATGCTGTGGCAAATGGTAAGAGTTCCTTTTTCTTCTTCCTGTTCTTAAAGAATACCTTTCAGCATTTCATATAATACTGGTTTAGTGGTGATGAACCCCTTTAGCTTTTCCTTATCTGTGAAGCTCTTTATCTGACCTTCAATTCTGAATGATAGCTTTGCTGGATAAAGTAATCTTGGTTGTAGGTTCTCGGTATTCATCAGTTTGAATATTTCTTGCCACTCCCTTCTGGCCTGCAAGTTTCTGTTGAGAAATCAGCTGACAGTCGTATGGGTACTCCCTTGTAGGTAACTGACTGTTTTTCTCTTGCTGCTTTTAAGATTCTCTCTTTGTCTTTTGCTCTTGGCATTTTAATTATGATGTGTCTTGGTGTGGTCCTCTTTGGATTCCTTTTGTTTGGGGTTCTCTGCGCTTCCTGGACTTGTAAGTCTATTTCTTTCACCAGGTAGGGGAAGTTTTCTGTCATTATTTCTTCAAATAGGTTTTCAATATCTTGCTCTCTCTCTTCTTCTGGAACCTGTATAATTTGGATGTTGGTACGCTTGAAGTTGTCCCGGAGGCTCCTTACACTATCTTCGTATTTTTGGATTCTTTTTTCATTTTGCTTTTCCGGTTGGTTGTTTTTTGCTTCTTCATATTTCAAATCTTTGACTTGATTCTTGTGATCCTCTGGTCTGCTGTTGGGAGTCTGTATAATATTCTTTATTTCAAAAAGTGTATGCTTGATTTCTAGTTGGTCCTTTATCACAACATCGAGGGTCTCACTAGATTCCTTGAGGGTCTCATTAAATTTATCGGCGGTTTCTAGAAAATTCTTGAAAAACCTTAAAAGTGTGGTTTTGAACTCTATATCCAGTAGTTTGCTTTCCTCCATTTCTGTCATTTGTGTCCTGTTTCTTTGTCTCGGCATTTTTTATGCTTCGCTGTGTCGATAGAATAGCTTTCTGTGCTAAGTGTCCTATAGGGCCCAGTGGCTCAGCCTCCCCAATTACCCGAGGTAGACACTCTTGGTGCACCCCCTTGTGGGCTTTGTGCACAGTCTTTTTGTAGTTAAGCCTTGATTGTTGTAGGTAACAGTGGGAGGGATTGACCTCCAGGCCTATTGGCTGTGAGAATCAGCTGTTTCTGCAGTGGGAGAACTGGCTCCTGGATCTCTAAGGAGGTGCTAATCTAGCCTCTGCCTGAGGCTACCCAGCAGGAGCTCAGCTGTGAAGCAGTGCAAGTTGCCCTGGGGCCTTGGGCCAGCTGCAGTTTGTTAAGTAATTTTCAGATTACAAAGGGCCAGGCCTTTTATATGCAAAAGCCTCAGTGCATGGCTTGGGTGGGGCGGGGTCCCAGGGGATCAACAGGGCGGAGCGAGCAGTTATAGCTGCTCTCAGTCCTGCCCTCAGAGGCCCCGGCAATCGCTGTGAGCACCTCCAAGAGAAAGCTGCCCTTGAGTTCCAACCGATGCCAGACAGTCCCGTTTCTCCCGTATGAGTCTGGGTCCCCAGAGACTCGCCCGGAACTGGAGCTCAGAGCTTGAGACTCCCTCCCGATTGAAAAAGACAACCATGTCCTCAGCCACCAGCCCTCTCCGCATGCACCTCCGCACCTTTGTATTTTACTTCCACACCGCACCTCCTCTGAGTCTCGGTATGCTTTTCTCTTTCCTTCTAGTTATAGAATTTCCACTCAGCCAGCCTTCCTGTGGTTCTGGATGATGTCTGTTCGGTCTTTTAGTTGTATTTTTGAATTTGTTGTGGGAGGCAGCAATTTCCGGTGTTTACCTATGCCGCCATCTTGGTTTCTCCCCTGGGCTATTTTTAATTTAGTAACGTTAACTTTACAGCCTTTGCAGTCTGATTCTGAAGATTATGAAAAAATTCCTTTGAGGTCGAGAAGTGCTACACCAGGAGCTGGGTGTTTAAGTCCTGAGCCTCTCCTTCCTGACAGACAGCTACCCCCTGTGCCGCTCCCAGGTGCAGTTACAGAACCGAGGGAGTCAAGAAAGGAACAGAAAACTAGCTGTCAAAATAGAAGGTTATGAAAGAATAGCCTCAGCCAGCGATTCAGAGCTGGATGTTTCATCTTCCGCTGAATCGGATGGTGATTTTTACACTCTCCTTAAGTTAAGGAAAAGAAAGAGAATAAAAGTCCTCAGGAGTTGGCTGCACCGCCCGGGAAAAGTGAAAGTAAAAGGGCACTAGCCATTAATCCGGCATTAGCGGCTGAGCCTCCACCCCACTCCTGAGGACACAAAGAGCTGCTAATGCTCAATACCTTCATGGGTACAACATGTAGAGTTAAGAGTAATAAAACTGTTAAAAGAATCAGTTGCTGCCAAAACCGGTTTGGCTCAGTGGATAGAGCGTCGGCCTGCAGACTGAAGGGTCCCAGGTTCGGTTCTGGTCAGGGGCATGTACCTTGGTTGCGGGCACATCCCTAGTAGGAGATGTGCAGGAGGCAGCTGATCGATGTTTCTCTCTCATTGATGTTTCTAACTCTCTATCTCTCTCCCTTCCTCTCTGTAAAAAATCAATAAAATATATTTAAAAAAAAAGAATCAGTTGCTAATTATGGGGCTAATGCTCCATAGACAGTAGGAATAATACAAGCTTTTTTTTTTTTTTTTTTTTTTTTTTACCTGGGAGCTCACCAGCACCTTAGATGGGGCCCTGGTCTCCCAGGTCCCCACTCCAGGCACCACTGACACAGAATCAATGATTTGACCAGTGGGGAACGTGCTAGAGTGGCACATTTTATTTTTAAACTTCCTGTGAGGAAATTTTAAGAACTCTAATCACAAGGCTTATAGGGGACTTTCAGAGATTTGTTTTTTTGCTCAGATTGAGGAAATGCAAGGCCTGTCAGGCCATAAAAACGGAACAATGCACTGCCCTAGTGGTGGTGGTGGTGGGGGTGTTGCTGGCCCCAGGACAGATCATCTGATATGACCTGGGAACCCCAACACCTGGGGCCTTCCTATAAGCCCACAAGGGGGTGGAACCATATCTGCAAGACAAAGACCCCAGTAGATTATAAAAAGCGAAGCCTCTGTATGTTACTGCACCCTGATTTGGAAGTTATTTCCCGGAGTCCACTAGTCACTAGTGTTAATAAATGGGTTCCTCCATTTCTCTAGGAAGCGTGCTTGGTAATACAAGCTTTTTATACAGATTATAAATTAATTAATTTATATATTATTAGCTATATTATTATATATAATATAATTATATATTATTAATTTTATATATTAATTAATATATAATTAATTTATACAGATTATAAATTAATTCCATATGATTGGAATGCTATAGCTAAGGCAGTATTAGCCCCAGGGCAATATCTACAATTTAAATCCTGGTGGTGGGAAGAAGCCAGGAGAGTGGCGATGATTTACACCCAACATGCCTGTTAATCATTGTCACTTGCTGTACTCCATTGTTATTTGCTGTACTCCCCAAATAAAAGCGATGAGAGCTTTGGGGGCTTTGCTACTTGCCTGACTAGCAATAGCCCTCTGCTTCTCTAAACTCAATCCTGCACGCCAAGCTCATCTCAGCGTCACCGTTCACAAAACAGAACATCAACACCGGTTAGGGTGAGAAGTGAAATTTTAAGGTGACCCGTAAGATGAATGGGCAGAGTAGGGAAAAAAGTGTTTCAAGTAGAGGGAATAACATGTGTGAAGATTTTAAGGAGGGATGGAGGTTGGCATATTCTAGGAACTAAAAGGAGGCCAATGTATGTGAAAATAGTGATCAACGAGTAGTGTAAGAGATGAGAGTGAAGTTGGCAGGGTCTAGAAGATCATTAGGGACCATGATTTATGGATATGTTACTCAAGAGCAATGGAATGCCATTAAAAAATTTTGAACAGGTGACATGCTAGAATTAATATTTTCAGAAAATCACTACATTATGGTGAATGAAAAAAAGAGAAAAGAGTGGAATCAGGGGATTCAGTTAAATAGTATTAGAGTTTTCCACATGAAAGACAACAGGGACTTGGATAGTGAAAGTGGAGGCAGAAAAAAATAATCACTTGATTATTTAAAAAACATTACATTTTGGAAAAACAAACCTGATTTAAAAAAATGTGTGAAAGATTTGAGCAGACATGTTTCCAAAGAAGATATACAAATGGACTTGTAACAAGCATATGAAAAGATGCTCAACATTACTAATTATTAGGGAAATACAAATCAAACAAGGAGATACCATCTTACATATATTAGAATGACTATTATTATTTTTTTAAATATATTTTTTATTTGTTTCAGAGAGAAAGGGAGAGGGAAAGAGATAGAAACATCAGTGATAAGAGAGAACCATTGGGCTGCCTCCTGCACACCCCCTACTGGGAATCCAGCCACAACCTGGGCATGTGCCCTTGACAGGAATTGAACCCGGGACCCTTCGGTCCGCAGGCCTATCCACTGAGCCAAACCAGCTAGGGCTAGAATGACTATTATGAAACACACACACATAACAAGCGTTGGTAGGGATGTGTAGAAACTGGAGCCCTTGTGCACTGTTGGTGGAAATGTAAACTGGTGCAGCTACTATGGAAAACAGCATGGTAGTATGTCAAAAAATTAAACATAGAATTACCATATGATCTAGCAATCCCATTTCTGGATATATACCCAAAAGAACTGAAAGACAGTCTCAAATTCATATTTGTACACCTGTTCATAGCATTATTATTATTATTTATAGCAACATTATTCACAATAGCCAAAAATAGAAGCAACCCAAGTATCGAATGACAGACGAATAGACAAAATCTGATCTATACCAATGGAATGGATTACTATTCATGTTATAATATGAATGAATCTTGGGGATATTATGCTAAGTGAAATATGCCAGACAAAAAGACAAATACTTATAATTACACTTACGTGAGGTACCTAGAGCAGATACATTCATAGGAAGTAGAATGGTGGTTGCCGGAGGCTGGGGGAAAGGGAAGGGAAGCTGTTTAATGAGTATAGTTTCAATTTTGCAAGATGAAAATTATTCTGGAGATTGGTTGTACAACAATGTGAATGTACTTACCACTACTGGACTGTATATTTAAAATAACATATATTTTATGTTATATGTATTTTACCACAATTAAAAAACCAGAAAAACAGTTACATTTTGAAGATTATAATTAGTTATAAATAGGCTGCAAGTAATAGAACCGCAATTTGAAGTGGACACAAGATGGAGGTGATGAGATTTACTGGCTCATGGAATCGAAGGAAGAGTTAAAATATGGGATGGGCAGGGATATGGACCTTTAGGAACAATTAAAACCAGGGATTTGAGATTTTCTAGGATTCTGTTTCTCACCTCTGCTGCTTTCTGCATGTTAGCTTCATTCTTTTTTGTCGCAGACCAGTTCCACATAGCAGGACGCATGGCTGCCGACAGCTCCTATGTTTTACATTTTATGGCTTCCACAGTGGAGAGGAATTTTCTTTCTCAGTTTCAGTTAAAAAAAATTCTGGGTAAGGACTCTGATGGGCCCATCTTGGCCCAGGACCAGTGGCCAAGGGTGTGAGGGCATTTAAGACAATATTATAAATCGGAAGTATTCACAGAAACATGAAAAAGAAACAGAATGATTTCTGTAACATGATGTCAATTATGTACATTTAAAACATATACATACATAGGACACTATATATTATTAAAAGACATAGATATATCCAAGGACATATTTCAAACATATTAGAGCGATGACCTAAGTGAGGAAGGTAGGAACATGAGTAGTAATTGGAATGGGGAAAAGATAAGAAAGGCCTTGATGGTAATGTGAACAAAATAGTATGACTGCCTTAAATTTCTGTACCTGTGGGAAAAACAGGAGCAAATGAAGGGAGAAGAAAAAAAGGAAAGAGAAACAAAAGGACAAAGAGAAAATACTTCTGAGAGTGAGGGAGTTTTCAAGAGAAAAGGGGAGAATGTTGAGGTGGTAAATTCTATAGATGTCCACTACAGAGATAGAAGAGACATATCCTGATATTGGTTTGAATGTGGGGAATGAGGGAGACAAGGATAACTCCAGGGTTTTGACATAGATGGTGGTATAATTTATTAAGATATAAGACTGACTGCCCTGACCGGTTTGGCTCAGTGGATAGAGCAGTGATGGCGAACCTATGACACGCGTGTCAGAGGTGACACGCTAACTCATTTTTTTGGTTGATTTTTCTTTGTTAAATGGCATTTAATTATATACAATAAATATCAAAAATATAAGTCTTTGTTTTACTATGGTTGCAAATATCAAAAAATTTCTATATGTGACACGGCACCAGAGTTAAGTTAGGGTTTTTCAAAATGCTGACACGCCGAGCTCAAAAGGTTCGCCATCACTGGGATAGAGCATCGGCATGTGGACTAAAGGGTCCCGGGTTCGATTCTGGTCAAGGGCATGTACCTTGTGCCGGAGTCCATTAATTGTCTTCACTAGCTGAGTTTAGACAGAGACCCCCAAAAGCTAGTAGCCCTTGAAAGTCCTGGCAAAAGTCAGGGCTTGAAAGTCCTAGTAAAGGTCAGGGCTTGAAAGTCCTAGCAAAGGTCAGGGTTGTGCACCACCCAGTTAATTAAGACACCACCCAGTTAATCTAGCTAAAGTATCATCCCCACCTTAGTTCACTTAATTCCTTAGATACTTGTGTAGATCCTTGTTGATTATTGTTGATCAGATAACTCTACCCATTCCTGGAAATCATCTACTGATGAGCTAATCAGATACCCTGCCTATTTCTGGAAATTGTCTACCGATGAGCTAATCCATGTGTCATTGAAATCCCCTTACCTCAGGCTACCCCGACCTCAATAAAAGATCGGAGTGGCCTGAGCATCAGTGGAAGTCCATCTCCTTGAGTTGGACTTGCCCGCCTGGTCCTCCGATATTGCAAAATTATCTCGTGTCTTTTTCTCTCATTTGTGTGCGACCCATCTTTCAGATATTGAACCCTACTCCATGCGGGACGAGGAGGGAGTCCAACGAGACACCTTGGTTGTGGGCACATCCCCAGTACGGGGTGTGCAGGAGGCAGCTGATTGATGTTTCTCTCTCATCGATGTTTCTAACTCTCTATCCCTCTCCCTTCCCCTCTGTAAAAAAAATAATAAAATATATTTTTAAAAAAGATATAAGACTGAGGAAGGAACAAGTATTTTAGAGAAAATCAGTGATTTGATGAGCTAAGTTTGAATTACTTATGAGACTTCCAAGAGGATGTTCTTTAGGTTTCTCTTTTCCCCCCAGAAATGTGTCTATTTTAATGTCTAATTTATTTCTAAAGAATGAGATCTTCAATTTTTTTTATCAGGTACTGTTCTTTTTCCCTTATTAATTTCTGATTTTATCTTTATTCTTCTATTTTCCTTTTAATTTCTATTCTTTAAAAATTAATAATAAAAGCACAAGTTACAAATTTCCCTGAGTATTGCTTTAATAATATACCATAGGTTTTGGGTGCAATATTTTCATTAACTTCTTTCTTTTTTATTGAATTTACGGGGTTACACTTAACAAAATTATACAGGTTTCAGGTGCACAATTCTACAGCACATCATCTGTACACAGTAGTATATGTTTACCACCCCAAGTCAAGTGTCTGTCCATTACGATTTATTGCCCTATACCCTTCTCCACCTACAGAAACCTTAATTTTTATTTATTTATTTATTTTTATTTTTATGAACTAAGTTGGGTTTATTGGATACTTACAAGAGGGCAGCAAAACACAGGAACTCACCATGGAGAACAGTGGGGCTTCTGGGCAGAGGGTGTTAAGGAAAGGGGTTAAGAAGCACAATTTAGTTCTATAGTGTATCTCCAGAAAGTGGGGCTGATTCTGTGGTTAGTATCTTACCATTTATCTAGGTGGTGGAAGGAACAGAAATGGGCTAAAGCCTTAATTAGTAACCAGGCACAGTCGTGTTTGTTTTTTCTGTTGCCTGTGCATTCAGTCGGAGCTGGGGACTGCAGTGGTTTCAGTGGCCCCATAGGCAGTCTGTTCCCGGGTCAGGGTGCTACTTTTTATTTGTCCCTCTATTGTTCTTTTCTTCTAGAACAGTACCCACCACCACACCCACTATGATCCCCAGGCAGGTGCCTACAATGGACCAGACACTGGGACCAGAGGCAGCCTGGTTCAAGAGGTTGGCTGGCAGAGACTTGTCACTGATGTTGGCCTGCAGCCAGTGGCTGCAGCCTTTCTGCCTCACCCAGACCTGCAGGTCACTGGAGTCCACCAGGACAGAGAGCCTCTGGGAACAGCTGCTGTTGTTGAGCGAGAGGGGGCGGGGAGTAAATGGGGGCAAACGGATAGCTACCTGCTCCAGGTCCAAGAGGGTCCCAGCCCTGAGGCAATAGAGGATTTGGCACCCATCGCTGAGGTAAGCCTGGTGTTGGTTGTACCCTTTTGGACACTTCATGGGGTAGGCTGTGGGACTGTCCTGGTAGAACATCTCCTGCAGGAACCCAGCACTCTGTCCCTTCAAGAGGCCAGCCAAGGGGTTGCCCACCTGGCAGCTGAAGAAACCCCCAAAGGGAAGTGCCTGGGCTGTCCCCATTTCGAAGTCGCTGCTGACACACACCCTGAGGTCGCCAAAGAGTGTCAGTGGGTAGAAGTAGGAGGGGCAGGTCCAGCCTCTAGTGAGCGGGTTTGGGTGGTTGGGGCTATAGAGGCCTCCAAAGAGGAAGTCTATAGTGGCGGGCGGGGAGGCCTGGGTGGGCGCGCACCAGGAGGCCGCCAGGCGCACCACGCTGTACTGCTCCTGGGAGGTGCACACCTTCTCGCAGCAGGAGAAGAAGAGCCAGCACCTCTGGCACTGCTGCTGGCACACAGAGTGGATCTTGCTTGATGTCTTCAGCTCGCTGTTCAGGACACTGGCCTTGTAGTTGGGTGGGCAAGAGAGGTGGCCGGTGAGCGGGTTCGGGGTGCTATAGTTCTGGCAGAGCTCATCCGCGTCCATTCCGGACACAGCCTTGCACTCCTGGAAGACGCCCCCGAAGCTATAGTTGGCTGGGTTGCCGCCAGAGCAGGAGCCATCCTCCACGTTAGCCTTGGGATTGAAGGCGGGCTCTCCGCGCCTCAGGCAGCCGGGATGCGCGTTGACCTCGTAGTAGCGATTGATGGCGCTGTGCACAGCGGCTGCGACCCGGTGCACCGCGGGCGCTGGGAGCTCCGGCAGCGCCTCGGGCTCCAGCAGCATGGGCAGGGGCAGGCCGGACCTGCTAATGGCCACCAGCCGGTTGCTGATGCCCTCCTGCCACTTCTGCATGGTGATGCCCGGGTAGAAGGGCAGCCCGCCGTGGCTGCGCGTCTTGGAGGCCACCATGTTGCTCATATAGTTCAGGATGAACCGGTTCTGCACCTGCCAGGAGGCTGCGGCCTCAACGTTGACTGTGTGGTAAAACAAGCCCGAGGCAGCCAATGTGATGTGGCTCTCCAGTTCATCCTTTACAAAGTCCCGCTTTACCTGGTCCTCCTGCACCAAGGTAGCGCCGGCATCCACATGGGTGAGGACGTGCGTGCCGTACTTGAGCACAAGCATCTCCGCCAGGTACTGGGCCTCGCGGGTCTGGTTGTTCTCCAGGTGTTCACTGAGGATCAGCAGATGCTGCAGAAAGTCGGGATGGAAGCCGGGGGCCTCCGAGGCCTTCACAGAGTAGATGTTGTGGCGGAGCTGCACTCTGGCCGTGACCGTCTCATACTCTAGGCTGTACTTCCTGACGTTCTGGAAGTCCGCGGAGAACTTACCATTGAGGATGGGGAGGTAGGAGAGCTCGGCATTGATGGAGAACGCCCAGGTGTCGGTGTAGTTGAGCCACTCGTCAATGAGCTCGGCGCGGGTCTCCACCACGCTCTCGCGCCGTGGCACCACGTACACTTGGTCTGGGATCAGGTACTCGCCGTCCTCCGTGGTGCGGCACTGGGAGTAGCTGCGCCCCAGCACCAGCCCCAGCTCCACGTTGCGCAGGTTGTCCCAGCCACCTCCAGGCAGTGCCCACAGCACTGACACATTCAATGCCTGTTTGCAGTCTTGGATGGCGGAGATTTCCTGATTCCCCATGCTGCTGCCCTGCCCGGCTGAGAGCAGGGCCAGCAGTGATGCCAGGCACAGGGCCATGGCTGGAGGACAGCTTCGCCTTGGCAGTCCGCTGTCCCTCAGTTCCTTCATGGTGTGGAGTCGCAGAGGGAAAACCGAAACCTTAATTTTTAAAGAATCCATGATATTAGTTTTATTTTTTTGACCTGAGTTATTCAAAATTGGTGTTTTTAAAAAAATTCCAAGTGATTAGAATTTTTAAGTTTGTGATTATTCATGACTCATTTTACTACTTTGTGCTCAGCAATGATGACCTCTGTAATATTTGTTTTTAGAAACTGAATTTCTCTCTCCCCCACTATCCAAATTTGCTTTGTTGTTTTATTACTCACACTAGAGGCCCAGTGCATGACATTCATGCACTGGGGGTGGGGGGTGGTCCCTCAGCCTGGCATGCGCCCTCTTTCAGTCTGGGAGCCCTCAGGGAACATCAGTGGGACATCCTTAGCACTGCCATGGAGGTGTGAGAGGCTCCTGCCACTGCCGCTGCACTTGCCAGCCATGAACCTGGCTTCTGGGTGAGTGGTGCTCCCCCTGTAGGAGTGCACTGACCACCAGGGGGCAGCTCCTGTGCTGAGCACCTGCACCTGGTGGTCAGTGTGCATCATAGCGACCGGTCGTTCCGCCATTCGGTCGATTTGTATATTAGCCTTTTATTATATAGGATAATATGTGAACAAATCCTTACTGTAATAATTTAAAGCATTATAAAAAAACATAGGTCTTTCAGTCTCTACCATTAAATCCACTCTCTTCCACAAAGATAACCATTTCAAAAGTTTGGTATGTATTTTTCCACACCTTTTTGATGTATTTATATAGATATTAACATATGCAATAAATGGTTTTGCTGCACTTAGAGAGAACCTTACTCTACATACAAGTGTGGGCAAAAGTAGAGTTACAGTTGTTTGTATGGAAAATACAATAATCCTATATAATAAAAGCCTAATATGCTAAGTGTCCGGTCATCTGTTCTACCAATCTAATCTAATAAAAGGCAAATAGGGTAATTAACGGGTGCACCATGGAGGCCACCATGTTGCTCATATAGTTCAGGATGAACTGGTTCTGCACCTGCCAGGAGGCTGCGGCCTCAATGTTGACTGTGTGGTAAAACAAGCCCGAGGCAGCCAATGTGATGTGGCTCTCCAGTTCAGCCTTTACAAAGTCCCGCTTTACCTGGTCCTCCTGCACCAAGGTAGCACCGGCATCCACATGGGTGAGGACGTGCGTGCCGTACTTGAGCACAAGCATCTCCGCCAGGTACTGGGCTCGCGGGTCTGGTTGTTCTCCAGGTGTTCACTGAGGATCAGCAGATGCTGCAGAAAGTCGGGATGGAAGCCGCGGCAGCCACGGCGGGCTGCCCTTCTACCCGGGCATCACCACTCCGATATGCTTCCCATTGGCTAATCAGGGCGATATGTAAATTAACTGCCAACCGAGATGGCGGCCAGCAGCCACGCAGCTGAAGCGAACAGGAGGCTTGCTTGCTCCAGTGATGGAGGAAGCCAAGGTTCCCCTCCTGCCTCGGCTGGGCTCTGAGCTGCACTCTAAGCAACAATGTTGCAATTATAGAAGCTAAAACAAACCCCAGATACCTGCTTTCATCCAGCCGGGTCTCAGTGAGCAGGACCGCAACAGTGTTTCAATTATAGAAGCTAAACAAACCCCAGATACCTTCTTTCAGCAGCCGAGGTCTCAGAGCTGGAGCTGGGCCTCAGAGCTAAAGCCGGCTCTCAGCTCCAGTGACAGCTATAGAAGGTAAATAAATCCCAGAATAAAAAAGAAAAAAGAAAAAAAGGAGAGGTTGGGAGCTTCAGTCGCCCGCCAGCCTGAAATCGGCCCTCAGCCCCTCACCCAGACTGGCCAGGAACCCCAGTGGGGACCCCCACCCTGAAGGGGGTGTGGCCAGCCTGAAAACAGCCATCATCCCCTCATCCAGGCTGGCCAGGCACCCAAGCGGGACCCCTACCCTGATCCGGGACACCCTTCAGGGCAAACCAGCTGGCCCCCACCCATGCACCAGGCCTCTATCCTATATAGTAAAAGGGTAATATGCAAACTGACCCTAACAGCAGAAAGATTGGGAATGACTGGTCACTATGATACACACTGACCACCAGGGGGCACACGCTCAATGCAGAAGCTGCCCTCTGGTGGTCAGGACACTCTCACAGGGGGAGCTCTGCTCAGACACAAGCCAGGCTGATGGCTGCCAGTACAGCGGTGGTGGTGGGAGCCTCTTCTGCCTTCTCAGCAGCGCTAAGGATGTCCGACTGCAGCTTAGGTCTGCTCCCTGCTGGCAACTGGACATCCCCCGAGGGCTGCCGGGCTGCCAGAGGGATGTCTGATTGCCATCTTAGGCCAAATCCCCCGAGGAGCAGGCCTAAGCCAGCAGGTGGTCATCCCCCAAGGGGTCCCAGACTGCGAGAGGGTACAGGCTGGGCTGAGGGACCTCCCCCCGAGTGCACAAATTTTTGTGCACTGGGCCTCTAGTCTAATCCAATAAAAGACAAACATGCAAATTGACCATACCTTTGCTACACCTTAAGACACGCCCACCAGCCAATCAGAGTGACTATATGCAAATTAATCCAACCAAGTTGGTGGCTGGCAGCCACGGAGCTGAAGAGAGCAGGAGGCTTGGTTGCTCCAGTGATGGAGGAAGCCAAGCTTCCCGGCCAGCTCTGAGCTCCACTCAAAGCAACAAAGTTTCAATTATAGAAGGTAAATAAACCCCAGATACCTGCTTTCAGCCGGCCCTGGCCACGGAGCTGGAGCGAGCAGGAGCCAGCTCTGAGCTCCACTGAAGGCAACAAAGTTTCAATTATAGAAGGTAAATAAATCCCAGAATAAAAAAAAAAAGAAAAACGGAGAGGCTGGGAGCTTCCGTCGCCAGGGGGGCTTGGCCAGCCTAAAAACGGTCCTCAGCCCCTCACCCAGACAGGCCAGGCACCCCAGTGGGGACCCCCCCACCCTAAAGGGGGTGTGGCCAGCCTGAAAACAGCCATCAGCCCCTCACCCAGGCTGGCCAAACCTCCATGGGGTGAGGGTCCCCACTGGGGTGGGGGGGGGCTTGACCAGCCTGCAAACAGCCATCAGCCCCTCACCCAGGCTGGCCAGGCACCCCAGTGGGACCCCCACCCTGATCCGGGACACCCTTCAGGGCAAACCAGCTGGCCCCCACCCATGCACCAGGCCTCTATCCTATATAATAAAAGGGTAATAGGCAAACTGACTCTAACAGCAGAAAGACGAATGACTGGTCACTATGACACACACTGACCACCAGGGGGAAGATGCTCAATGCAGGAGCTGCCCCCTGGTGGTCAGTGTGCTCCCACAGGGGGAGCTCTGCTCAGCCACAAGCCAGGCTGATGGCTGCCAGTACAGCGGTGGTGGTGGGAGCCTCTCCCGCCTCCTCAGCAGCGCTAAGGATGTCTGACTGCAGCTTAGGCCTGCTCCCCGCTGGCAAGTGGACATCCCCCGAGTGCTCCTGGGCTGCCAGAGTGATGTCTGACTGTCAGCTTAGGCTCAATTCCCCAGGGAGCGGGCCTAAGCCAGCAGGTGGTCATCCCCCAAGGGGTCCCAGACTGCGAGAGGTCACAGGCCAGGCTGAGGGACCCCCACCCCCCCAAGTGCACAAATTTTTGTGCACCAGGCCTCTAGTCAAAGCATAATATGCTAATGATATCATTATGCTAAGGCCGCTCAACGGCTTGCTATGGCATGAACTGACCACCAGGGGACAGACAGCCGACCGGTCAACCAGTCGCTATGATGTGCACTGACCACCAGAGGGGAGACACTCCGACTGGTAGTTTATCTTGCTGCTGTGGTCCGATCGATTGGGACTGAGTGAGATGGGCTGGACATACCCTGGAGCCCTCCCGCAGTCCCTTCCCAGCTGGCCAACCTCCCGCTTCCCTCCCTGGCCCCGATTGTGCACCGGTGGGGTCCCTCAGCCTGGCCTGCGCTCTCTCGCAATCCAGGACCCCTTGGGGAATGTCCGAGAGCCGGTTTCAGCCTGATCCCAAAGGCCAGGCCGAGGGACCCCACTGGTACACAGATTCGTGCACCGGGCCTCTAGTTAATAAATAACAATACAAGAATAAATTCTATGTTTCACATGCTCTCAACTATAAACCTATATTTGCCCACCCCTGTATTGTTCTGCAACTAGCATGTGTTGTTTTTTTTTTAACTAACATAACATCTTGAAAACTATTCTATGCCAACACATATTTCAACTCTTTAAATTCAGAAGCTTTCATTTGATATAGGTCTAAATACAGTTGTCTTTTCACTTATTTTTACCTGGTACTTCATGAGTCCTATAAATCTGAGGGTTAAATTCAAATTTTTCCATCAACTTAGTAAATTTTCTTGTATTATTGTTCCTCCTCAGTCAGTTCTGTTATCACCTACTGGAGCTCATATTTGATTATTAGTTTTATGGATCTATTCTCTACATTTTCTGTCCTTACCTCTAATAGTTTTTATCTATTATATTTCCCTCTGAGTTCTGATAAATTTTCTCAAGCTGGTTTAACTTTTGGCATATTTTACCTGTAGCTTACTGAAACTGTTGCATTGGTAACAGTGTTTTTCTTGGTTAAGCAGGTTTTCTTCAGATTATTTTTCCATCTTAAAAACAACCCTGATGCAGCCTGGCTGGTGTGCTCAGTGGTCAGAGAGAAGGCCTGTGCACCAAAGCCAAAGGGTCAAGGGTTCAATTCCCAGTCTAGGGCATGTACCTGGGTTGCATGTTTGATCCCCATGTGTGGGAGGCAACCACTTGATGTGAGTCATATGGATGTTTCTCTCTTTCATCCTTCCTCCTTTCCATTGTCTCTAAAAATCAATGGAAAAAATATCCTCGGGTGAGAATTAAGAAACAAACAAAAAACACACCCAAAATCTTACTTACAAAAAGTGTCAGTCATGGAAGACTGAAAAAAACAAACCAACCTGATGCAATGTTCTCTACAATTTCAATGTGAAAATGAATTAGTTTATTTCTTCCTATTTCATGTTTTATTTTTATTTTATTTATTTATTCACTTATTTATTTTTCTATACTGTACAGCTCCCTTCAGTGCTCACAGCCCAAGGGTAAGGAGGCTGGGCAATGGTTTGAGGCTGCAACTTCCTCTGGCATGGGTCCACTATGAGCCTATTTCATGTTTTAAAGATTGTCATTTGCTCTGACCACTCAAATCACTCCCCTACTTTATTTACTTATTTTAGTGAATTTACTGGGTGATATTTGTTAATAAAATTATATAGGTTTCAGGTGTACAATTCTATAATATATCATCTATATATTGTATTGTGTTCACTACCCCAAGTCAAGTCTCTTTCCCTCACCCTTTATCCCCCCCTTTACTCTCTTCTACCTCCCCCCACCTCCTTTTCCCTTTGGTAATCACCATGCTGTTGCCTGTGTCTATGAGTTTTTTTGTGTTTGTGGGTGTTTTTTTTTTTTTTTTTGCTTAACGCTTTCACCATTTTCATGCAGCCCCCCCCACCCCGTGTCTCCCTCCCCACTGACAGCTGTCAGTCTGTTCTCTGTATCTGCGTCTATTTCTATTGTGTTTGTTAGTTTATTGTGTTCATTAGATTATACATACAAGTGAAATCACATGGTACTTTTCTCTGACTGACTTATTTCACTTAACATAATGCTCTCCAGATCCATCCATGCTGTTGCAAAAGATAAGATTTCCTTCTTTTTTAGGCCCAAGTAGTATTTCATAACCCTACTTTGGGACCTTTAAATCTCCCCCTGTATCTTATTGACTTTCTACTTCTGCTTAACCTTCTGGTGGCAAGTGTTTGTCACATAATAGGAACGGAGTTCTATCAGAGATTGTTCAAATCTATTAGGCGCGGTCTAAGGAGTAATTTGTAACTATTCCTTGACGGTTTGGGATTGGGAAGGAGCACCAGGTGGAGGAAAGCAGTCTCGGGGGAGGGAGTTTCACCACAGTTCTGAATAGGTGCTACTGAACAAGAAGTTAAAGTACCAGTTTTCTGATCTAGTTACATTAAAAAAAATTTTTAAATCCTCACCTGAGCCCTGATCGGTTTGGCTCAGTGGATAGAGCGCTGGCCTGCAGACTGAAGGGTCCCGGGTTCGATTCCAGTCAAGGGCATGTGCCTCGGTTGCGGGCACATCCCCAGTAGGGGGCGTGCAGGAGGCAGCTGATCGATGTTTCTAACTCTCTATCCCTCTCCCTTCCTCTCTGTAAAAAAATGAATAAAATATATTTTTAAAAAAGCTAAAAAAATCCTCACCTGAGGATATATTTTTATTGCCTTTATTTTCTAAATGTCTATTATTATTATTATTGATTTTAGAGAGAGAAGAAAGGAGAGGGAGAGAAGCATGGATGTGAGAAACATCCATATGCCCCCAGACCAGGAATCGAACCCTCATCCGGAGAATGTGCCCTGACTGGCAATCACACCCGCGACCCTTCTGTGCACAAGAGGCCGCTCCAACCAACGGAGCCGCTCCGGCCAGGGCTGATCCGGTTAAATTTAAAGACGGAACACAATCAATCAACCTGAGATCCAGGGACGTTAAGTCATTTTTCCAAGAATCCACAATGATACGGAAATTCCCAAACCGACGTACAGAATCCCTCCCGATTTATTGCCTCCCAACCCCTTCCCCAACGAGAGCCAACTACACTGTAGTATTTTAAAATAGTCAGGAGGCTGGCTCGGGGGAGGGGAAGTACTTTGCCGTAAAGAAGACTTTGACAGTCTGGTACTTATCGACTGAGTCACCCTGGGAACTACGGTTCTCTGGGACTCCGTTTCTTCATCTCTGGGGAGTGGAGGAGAAAGTGGGGAACATAATAATGACTCTTACAAGATTTTCAAGGTTCCCAAATCGAGGCCTGGGGCACTAGTCCGGGCCTGTGGTGGGAGACCCTGGCCTGCGAGGAGGGGAGGAGGCCGGATCCTGCGGTGTCTCTCGTCAACCCCAGCCCCAGACCAGCCCCAGTGTCCTCGACGGCCGCCACCGCCCGCCGGTGGGCCGGGCCTCACCTCACCTCACCGGGGCCGCGCCTCCGACTCCAGCCTCAGCGCACCTTCCCCGACCACACCTCTGCGCATGCGCGGCGCCCGCCTCCCACGCCCAGACTCGCGCTCGGTCTCTTCCGCTCTCCCGCGGCGGAGCGTCCGTGTAGCGCTTTTCCTCCCAGCGCGGCCACCGTCGTTCGGGGAGGAGGACGGGAGGGGGCGGGGAAAAAGGTGGGAGGTGGGAGAGCGCGCGCGTCGCCCGTCCGCCGTGGTTTCCTGGCTGCGCGCGGCGGTGGCGGCGTCGCTGCAGCTGTTGCAGCAGCGGCGAAGATGGCGGAAGGACTGGAGCGCGTCCGGATCTCCGCGTCGGAGCTGCGAGGGATCCTGGCCACTCAGTCTCCACAAGCCGAGAACAGAGTTGAGTCACACCGCCCCTCTCTAGGTCTGGTCCTGCCCAACTCGCCATCATCTCACTACTGTCTCCAAAGCCTTAAAGTGGGTTATGTCTGGGAAACTAAACTCTTTACCTCCC